GCATCGCAAGTTCAGTTGATCGATCAGCGCTTTTCTAATCATGAGTGTCTTGTGATGAAGTCATAGTTCGGAGAATCGTAACTCCAATATTATGTGAAAACTGTGACCTATGCGAGTTGTCCCCCTTGTGACATGATACAGCACTGTACAGTGTATTTTAGTTGGTTTAGTAGAACGCCAGCCTGTAGAGTTCACGTTCCGACGTTCCTTCCCAACACGAAGGTGTGTTTAGTTTTACTAAGAGTTTTACGGCACTTGCAACACAATAAAGTCACATAAGTGCCGAACATTACAGGTGTTACAAGGGAGTAACAAACAAAAAAAAGAGGGAGGGGAGATGAAGACGTTAGATAGATGTTAGATAGGAAAGAAGGAGCAAACCACACCAGAGCACCCGCCAACCACCCACACCAAAGTGTGTGTATAGGTGAACATTGTCTATACATTTAACATCTCCCCTACCCCCCCCCCTCTTCAATTTTCACGAAAATAAACAAAATGTTTACGAATCTATTAACTGAAATATGTCGTTATTTTAAACAAATGTTCAGTTGATCTGTAGTAGATTCTTATGATGAGTTCTAGGAGAGTGAGGATTTCAAATATTGAAGGAAAAACATAAATATGTCAGGCGCTGTGACCCATTAGGCAACATTGATAATAATAATGATATAATAATAATGATAATAATAATGATATAACAATAATGATATAATAATAATGATAAAATAATAATGATAATAATAATGATATAATAATAATGATAAAATAATAATGATAATAATATTATTATTATTATTAGCTTCAGCTCGGTCCGACATTGTGTCCTTGGGAAAGGCACTTACACAAATTTTCCAACTAGAATGTCCCAAAAAGAATATTCTTGGCTCCAAGAATTCATCACATCCATCTGTCTGAATCCAGTGTTATCCACGTCTGCGAATCCAGTGTATAAACAATGCGTAGATCTTTTCCACCAGGAATACACAGTATCACAGAAAGCGATGATTTTAGAATTTAGAATTAACTGCCACACTGTTCTATGTGTTAACTGATAGATATACACACCAGTGTATGTGTTGACTAGAAAGCCAAAACAGACGGGTGACCGGGAAAGATCAGGATGACACAGCTTTTTTAAGAGCACCTGATGAGTAAAAGAATGAACGGCGAACCATGATCGTCAATGTCCATTGCAGATCTGTCTGGCACTTGATGATGACGATGCTCTGACTGCCAGATACACACTACAATATCTTGACACGTGAGTTGTGAACATATGAGAGCAAAGGTAGTCACACTCGGGCGTTTGGTCAGGCCCATCCAGTTTGTTTCTTTGACCTGTTCCAGAACATCATGTGGAAGGGGGGAATCTCTGGGAACCAGCAGACGACGACAAGAGATCTTTCCAGGAACAACTCTACAAAGGCGTTTCTTAACTTTACTGGAGGAACTGAACTCAGCAACATTCATACTACGAGCAAAGGCACACACATATATATATATATATCAGAGCTTCCAGCAGCTGATGTCATTTTTCGAGGATTTTCGGGTCCAGGGCAGGGGGTTGAAGGGGGACAGCGTCCCCTTTCTGTTTGAGATTTTTAGTTTCAGAGCATCTTAAGTATGCCATTTCTGGCTATTTAGGCCTAAATTTAACTAGAAAATAATTGAGAAAAAAAACATACCTTGTATAGGCCTACATAATTTTCTGCTTGTTAATCCATATATTTCCAAATCCAAAGCCATGCTTTCTCCCTTGTACAGATACTGTACATCCACAACTAGATCTATAAAACTTGACAGTTAATGTTTAACTTTTTTCTGCTTGTGTTGGTTTGCACCATAATAAGCATAAGGTGTAGAATTCTTACAATAATAGCTTTTTATATGACTTGATCTCTAGATTCTAGTCTAGATTCTAGATCTAAATAACTTGACAGCTTATATTCAACTTAAATCCACAACAATACTCACAAATAAACAAGTCTGGTAAAAAAAAAAACAAAGCTCTCTTTAGAGTTTTCTTTTCTTGGCAGGCCCAAGATCTATTGAACCACAATCGTCATTTCTTCCTCTTGTTTACAGAGCTGATGCTCTGCTTCTTGCGCTTTAGAAAGTGAAAGTAGAAGACACTGTCTACACTTTCAAATAAAAGAGCACTTCCGGTATGGGTTGGCTATTGTTGACTATTGGTAATAACGGAAAATTTTTATTTCGCATTTTTTAAAATAATTTTTTTTTGGGGGGGGGGCACGAATTTTCACTGAAATTTTTCCATTTGCGGAAATCCGCAAAATTACGGAAGACTGGAAGCCCTGAATATGTGCATTCACCAAATCCTTTGAGTCGGGTGAACGTAAAGCTGAACCCCTGAGACTGAAACATCAAACACCCGGAGTTCAATCAAATCCAGGTCTGGGCGCATTCTAGCCAAACAACACGCCTTTATCGTTATTTTCCTTCCGTCCATAAGAAGCAAATATAGAAGAATTTCTGCGAGTTCCAATTTGATGTATTTTTGGACAAGTTCTGGCAACCCAATTCAGAACCTTCCTCTATCTTTTTCTTATGAAATAACGGCATCGCTTTTTGGCTTCAAACAGCTAGGAGAAGCAAATATTCGGAAAATTCTGCCCAGCTATTGTCAAAATGAAATCTTAAAAAGGAAGGAGGTATTCTGTATTCACAACCCTCACAAAAAGTAATCACAAATACAGTGGACTTTGCTTCAACAGAACTGATTTTCTTCCTTTCGCAGGTTTTTCATTTTTAGTAAAGAGAGGTTGCCTAAATAGAAGGTGAAAAAAATCTAGGTTTTTATTTTCTTTCAGTTCACCACTGTTTTAGGATTAAACAAAGTTCGCTTTAAACCGACTCCACTCATCATCATCATCATCCAGTGCCAGATCTGCGACAGACATCGGCGATCATGGTTCTCCATTCATTCCTTTGCTCGGAGGCTCTAAAAAAAACAATGTTTTCCTGATCTTTTCCTGTTACCCATTTGTTTAGGTTACCCAAGTATGTTGTTCTGGGCCTTCCCCTGCCTCGCTTGCCCTCAATTTTGCTACACTATACTTCAGAAAAACCTACCTTTGCTTCCTCAGCGTCCGAGTCACACAGTTACACATGATGCGGTACAAATTTGACAACATACAGGAAACCCATAGAGAGGAAACACCCATGATCAACATGGATCTATATACAGAACTTACCTGAAATGAAGATACCTCGGACATCCAGTCATTATGTCACCGAGTAAACCTCACAATTTATTATGCAGTTGAATAACCTACCAATTTTTACGGGACAAAATAAAACAACATGAAAATGCAAAAACTGATACCCCCCCCCCTCCCCCCTAAAAATAGAACAGTTAAAGGTAGTCACACTTAGGCGTGTGCTCAGGTCCTGATACGGTCACATGTCATAGATAAGGATGGAGGGGAGCACAT